AGAGAGGGGGAGAGAGAGAGAGAGAGAGAGAGAGAGAGAGAGAGAGAGAGAGAGAGAGAGAGAGATCCCCGCGCGCACACACGCGTGGAAGAGAGAGAGAGAGAGAGAGAGAGAGAGAGAGAGAGAGAGAGATTCCTGCTACCTGGCGCTGACCACTTCTCTGAGGCAACACAACCCATGAAGAGAGAAGACCCTGTGTCATCAAGAGTTTCATTTTTTTTACGCGGAAAGTTTTGGTATGTTCTATAGAACAGATATGTGGTCTTCTCTCATCCAGCAGAACCCCTCTCTAGGAACAAAAGACTTCAGAGAACAGAGACCTCAGCATGCAGAATTTGATTCCACTTTTCAGAGGGCCATCTGGTTTTACCATCGTCTTACAATCCTTCGAAAGTTAGTGCTGACCACCATGTTCCCCCATTATCCATCAGTCTACATGCGGTGATAATGACAGTGTGGCTGAGTGTGCTCTATTCGTGTGGAGAGGGAAGCAATCTCCACTGCGTGCTATCAAGTTTGAATCTCCTTTTCTTCGGATTTGTACGACCTCAAGGTTTGACGAGCAGGCGGAGCTCCTCATGACCCTATCGGAGAGATTCCACGCTCAACTTCAGGGTACAACTCTTCTTATTTTCCTCATCTCTCTCCTTATCCTTCTTCTTCATTGGCTTCTCCTTCTCCTTCTCCTTCTCCTTCTCCTTCTCCTTCTCCTTCTCCAATTCTCCTCTCTGGACCCTTGTCTGACCACCTCCTCCTCGTCCTCTTCCTGTTCCGCCATCCTCCTCGTTGTCGTCCACTTCCTCCTCTGCTACCACCTCCTCCTGCTCCTCCTCGTCATCCTGCACCGCATCTTCCCCTTCCTCCCTCTCCTGCCCCTCCTGCCCCTCCTCCGCCCATCCCCTTTCCCCTTGCCCTGGCAAAATAGAAAAAGTGTCTCCAGTGCTCTCCACTGAGAAAGGGCGACACCCACAGTCACGAAAATGCCCAGAACCAAGAAGTGCCCAGGCCAGTGAAAAAAACAAAAAAAGTTAAAAAACATGCCAAAGAATAAAGTGCCCAAGCCCGACACTGTTTCCTGGGCCCGAACACTCGGACAACCAGCAAGCTCATATGAACTGGGAAGAACGATGCAAGGTTCAGGTGTGGGAATGAAGCTGGTATTGTGCCAGGAGAAGAAGATGACTGAAGCTTTTGTTTCTTGTCTCTTGTTTGGAGTTGGGTTGGTAGCGTGATGTGAGGCATTATGGCTCCCTCGTTTTTGCTCGAGTTTAGTTGTGATGTCACAATGTGCAGCATGGTGACCATACCTTTCAAAGAATGCATGTGATAGTGGTTTCCAGTGTTGACCTTCACATTGTGCTCATATATCGGTGATTTTTGTGCCGCTTGCTGTGGTCCACACATTACAGGTTCTATCACGGCTTTCATTTATTGCTTCCCTTGGCCATATGACAAGGATCACATCTCAGTTTGAGAAGACAAGGAAAGTCAGTGGCCCACGCTCACTTCAGCCCAGCCAGGTTCGTAACAATCTTCCAAATTTTTTTCTTCTGTTCATTTCTTTCTTCTCTATATTGAAAGAGTGCTCTCCTCTCGTGATGTGTCCTAGTAGTGGCAAATTGTTTTGGAAGTGTTCGAGAAGGGAGAAAGAAGCATCACTTACTGCACAACTTCTTTCCGTGATAAGTGGGGTTCCAGTTCTGTCGCTCTGGTGTGACGAGAGCACATGTAATCGATTCCGCATGCTTGCACACTCAAGCTGGCTTTATTACTGCCCTCGTGGAATCACCACGGTTTGTATTGGAACTGAACCAATGACAATGACACGCGATACACAATGAGACATCCTGAGAAGGGATAAGAGATTGCAACCTTGAGTGCAACCATGTGCATAACCTGGTCGTCTTGAAGTACGGGAAGAGAACTGCAAAAGTCTGCAAGAACCAGCGGTCTTGCAACAGCATGCATTTTCACAGGTTTTGCTTTGCTTAGACTTGCATGTGTGTCCTTCATTCCTTTCCAGCAAATATGTTTGTCCTCCTTAAATTTTGTCCTTCTTAAATCTGTGAAAACAATGACAGGTTGAACGGCATCCCCATCCCATGGATTTAGAGACCCTAGTCTTAGAGCTGCGGGACAACAAGGGTCCATTGAGGAACAGCAGGGTTGGAACACAATGTCACCCCAAGGCAGGGTTGCATACCACCCGACTGCCGACCATACCATGGCCTACCAGCAGGGCCGACCGGTCGGCGGTCTCCCAACGAGCCGCTAGACAGCCATGCATTGATTTTTTTTCAAATCTGAGTTTAGGGCTGGACTGTGTGTGCTGAGTACATCCAAAATCTGCTGAGAAACTAAGAGGCTCGGGGAGGGGTTACACGAGGGGCTATTGGGAGGGGTACAGGGGGGGTTTGGGGGTGGTGTTGGGGGGGTGTTATGGAGGCTTACGATTTTTATGGGGGGCTATTGGGGTTTTGGGGGGCTATGGTGGTCCCCCTTTTTTTTTTTTGCGAGATGTCAAACAGCTGCTGAAGGGTAGGTGCCAACAGGTGGACTGGTCGGCTGGTTGGTCGCTGACCAGTTGAGAGGCGCTGATCATTGGCCTGACTGCACTGTGCTAAGGCAGCCTCACAATACCTATTGCAACTTGTGGGCGTCCTACAAGAAGAATGGGATGTTCCTTTCTGGATGAGAGACACAATGTAGCCTCAGGCTGGGTCAAAGATCCCTCCTATCCAATATCTGCTGGTGATTTCAAGAATGTGCACCATGGGACCCATGCATACGGCCTAGGGACATGAGACACAGAAGTGAGATACAAAATGTCATCTGCAGAGCTGGAGGAGGCTCATAAACAGCTGAAGGAACTAATCACGGGCTGGAAACACTTCAGAGTACAGCTCAGCTGTCCTCAGTGCTCCCAAAGAAATCAGATGTAACTTAGAATCTGCATTGACTATAGGAGGTCGAGTTGGGTCTCCGTCGACCACAAAATTTAGGTTGGTCCAGAAGTTAAGTACAAAACAGCACTTGAGACCAGTGCAATGAACCCAGTCTGTTAGGTACTCAGAAGTCGTCAATCAACAGTAGTGTCAATATCTGCATGAAAGTCACCAGATCGTGAAGTGATATGTCAGACAGTAACTCATTATCAAAACGAGAATAGAGTGGAGGGAGAATAGACAAAGGAGAGGAAGAGAGAATACACAGAACCCTTCAGATCCCTCTCCTTCTCTGGGCTTCCTTCCACGCTACATTATCAATGATAATAAGAATAATCCTGGTCACATACAATAGTGCCACGTGGCACTTTATCTCATGAAGACTTTTGAAGACACAGCAGATTTCCAGTGACGACGTCAGCTACAGGTGAGTACCCGATTCTCTACATCCACAGATCACGATCTTCCTCGTCCTCGCAACCAGTCACCTCATGTAGACAGCGTGGACAATGCCACGTCACCAATCAAGACAAGTGGCATATGCCATATCAACAATGTAGACCAATAGCGCCACATATACCAGGAGCAGCGCCACGTCAGCATGCCACGTAGACCAGAGGCAGCACCACATATACCAGAGGCAGCGCCACGTCAGCATGCCACGTAGACCAGAGGCAGTGCCGCATATATCAGAGGCAGCGCCATGTCAGCATGCCACGTAGACCAGAGGCAGCGCCACATATACCAGAAGCAGCGCCACGTCAGCATGCCACGTAGACCACAGGCAGCGCCACATATACCAGAGGCAGCMCCACGTCAGCATGCCACGTAAACCAGAGGCAGCGCCACATATACCAGAGGCAGCGTCACATCAGCGTTGCCTGGCGTGCTGAGAAAGCGCCAGCATGCTGCCTCCCTTCCGTGCCGCCGCCTGCAGCGTCTGTGCACAGCCAGCATGTAGCCAGCGTCTCGCCAAAGTAGAGCCAGCGTCAAAGCAGCATAGCAAGACTGAATGCTGAGCACCTCGAGGCCAGTCTTTAAGTAGCATTTGGCGAGGCTCTCTGGCCTCGGGTCTCCTTCCCTCAGTCGTCCAGATTAAATCACAGCCAAAGGCCTGGATCGTACAGTTGCAGACATTCCCCTCGGACCTTATGCTGTCTGGGTACCTGCATACAAACAAGCGTGTGTGCTTGACCGGCGGCCTGGACTGGGTACCTTTGGACTTTGACTGTTGGGGTCGCGGCAGTTGACAAAAGTCAACTGTCTCATGTCCAGGCCCTGAATTTTCGTGTGGGGTCTTTCCCCCTGTTTTCGGCCTGGGCTGAGGGCGGCCGATTTGGCCCTCAGTCTTTCCACGAGACATATGGCATGGGTTATTGCACCAGGTATGAACATCATGAGTTTTTTGCAATACCATGTGGACTGCCCAATCCACCATAAACAAGATTCTTGGATTATGTCAAGATTCTCAACAAGCTTGTAGTGGCCTATCTGGAATCTGGATTAGATAGTCAGAAACAAAGGCTTTGGAGGATCATAAACCTCAGATTAGTTCTTGAGAGACTATGCTAACCAAAGCTGCAGCTAGACCGTGAATGACCAGAGTTGATAACCTGAAACATCACAGTTGATAAAGGCTTCTGTATGTTGCAGAGAAGCTACACCCACCGAAAAGTGTTCTCGAAGTTCCTCGACACCTGGTAGGCAGAGGCTGGTAGGCCCTGGCAAATTTTCTGCCATGAGGGTCCCCTCGAACCATCACGGAGCGCAGTATGTCCGTGTGAACTTCCAAACACCTGTAATGACCCACCACAACACAGACTGAGAACACTGCTGATTTCTGGGATTTGCCGCTGGAATGAATGCCTTGCTGCGATTCCCGCATTCCGCTGTGATTTCTACGTCTGTGTGTGTGTGTGCGTGCCTGCTGGTTTGCATGCCTGTCTGAGTGCTTGTTGGCTGAGTGTGTGTGTGACCCGCAAGGGTACTTGTTGGTTGAAAGGCCCCGCAGGGCCGGTACTTACCTGTGCCCGTGACTTTGAGGGTTGCAGCGGGGAAAACACTGAAGTAGCGGTGGTAGGCCCACGACACTTAGAGCAGCGGGAAAAACACTCAAGTAGCAGGTAGGCCGGTGCCACTCAAGTAGTGGTAGAAGTGTCGGGTACTGGAGGCCGAGCAGAAGAAGACAAAAAGTTGGCATTTTTAGAGGCCTGGTAGCGGCAGGTTAGAGGTAGGCCGGTATCAGTCCATATAGCCTGAGTCTAGGGCCTGCCCAGACGATAGCAGAGCCTGCAATGATGTTTCCTTCCGAAATGGAGGAGGTACCGGTTGCTGGGAGACTGATCGGCCTAGGAAGTCACCACCTAAGATGCCAGTACGCCGCTATATCTTCTGGAGGAGCAAGCAGCTCCTCCTCATTTGCGGTATGCCAGGATTGGGGACATGCTGCTGGAGCCAAGCGCTGGACTTGTGCAGCGCTGCCTGGAGGAGAAGAGCAGCTGGGCGCTCAGCCTGGCTACGGCGAGCAGCCCAGCTTGAGGAGGAGGAAGAAGGGGTTGAAGGAGGAGAGTGGCGAGGTACCTACCTGGCTATGGTGGACACCATCTTCATCAGCTTGTTGGGCTCTGCATCTGAAAGGCCCCAGTTGGGGTAGTGCTACACCAAGGAAGCTCGAGGCAGAGTCAGGCATGGCGGCCTAGTGAGCAGCGGCATAGCTGCTTTGGGTTGTCCTTTGGACAGGAATGCAGCAACATAGCTGCTTTGCGTTGTCCTTTGCACAGGAGGGCAGAGCCCTTAGTAGTCCGCCATAGCCTAGGCATGTGAGAGGAGGAAGAAGGGGGAAGCCATAGCTATGGTGGACCTGTTGTTGTGTCAGCAGTTAGAGGGAACTTCGGATATTGATTCTGGTTCATCCACTCATTGTTATTATTATTATAGGAAGAAGAATAAGATTGGCAAAGTGAAGGAGGAGGAGGAAGGTGGAGAGAGAAGGGGGATTTGTCATTGATCTTGCTGGTGTACATCTTCTTCTTCTTCTTCTTCTTCTCTCTCTTCTTTGGTCTCTCTCTCTTTGCAAGTGCTTTCATTTCTTTCACAATTAGGTGGCATTGTCTTTCATTGTGAATTTGCACTTTGGGAATGACCAGGATCGTAACACACCAAAGGATGCACATTGTGGCTGGCAGTTGCCAGTGAAAGGATTTCACGCTGCACAGGAGTCCCAGTCCCGGCCCCAGAGTCCCAAAAGGTCCCGGTCCCAGGAAGTCCCAGCAGTTCGGGTGCTAGGTCGGTAGAAGTCTTGCGTTGTAGGTCTGCAGAGCTCTGCGGGTCTCGACGAACGGGGTAAAGTCCCAAATTCCAGTTTCGGAGCAGCGTCGCAAGGCCAACAGGAATTACTCCACATTCATCCGGAAAATGCGGCAGACAGGTCGACGCGACCAACACCGTTCGTGGGCATGTCAACTTCCTGTTTTTAGATGCTACAGTGGCAGTGATTGGCAGTCGTTCATTTTGCAAGTTGCGAAGCGCTGCTGGTTGTTTGTGCGACAAGCGACTTCGGCAACGTGCGCCATAGGAGGAAGACCGGGGCTTGAGTACCACCGAAGCTAGGGTTAGGAGTAAGGTGGTGGCGGCCATAGCTGCCGAGGTCAAGGAAGGGGAGACACGGGTGTATTCAGGGTAGACCAT